ATCGTCTTCTTTGTCTAATAATACGTCAAAGCTTCCGCGCTATGCGCAGGAGGGGCGGACTGAATTCAGACAAGGATTATGAGTCGAGAAAGGTAAAACGAATCGTCTTCTTTGTCTAATACATCAAAGCTTCCGCGCTATGCGCAGGAGGGGCGGACTGAATTCAGACAAGTATTATGAGTTGAGAAAGGTACAACAAATCGTCTGCTTTCAAAGCTTCTGCGCTTTGCGCAGGGGGGAATTCCCCCACCCTGCACCCACCCCCCTAGGGACCGCGCTCTTTCAAAAACGTGCTCACTACCGCCCCCCTAAAATGAAATCCTGGCTACGCGCTTGTCTCAAAATGCTACTTTTTAATGGTTTCCGAAAATCTCTGTGTCTCAACAAGAATTACATAATGCAAATAAAGAATAGGATCTCTTATTTGAAGTAAAACTACGTTCCTAATTTGAAGGGAAGAGAGTTTTTTTTTTCCCACTCTCGATAAATTATGCCCCTTCACAAAGCACTTTGCACTTTGCTCTCCCATGTCTCCAGCTCACTCACCTGTATCATGCAGCTCACTCACACGGGGGATATCGAATCACCACTCGAAAACTAGCCTGTCTAAATTTTGGTTTGGACTCAGGAGGAAATTTTTCCTGTCATCGTTAGTTTTAAATACAACATTGTTTCTATTCTTTTTTTACTTTGACTTTTTGACTGTAAAGTTGTAAAAAAAAAAAGTCCTTCCCAATTCCCTGCAACATGGCTTTGGTTTCCGAACGGGACCGCACGCTTTTTTGCCGATTCAGTTGGTGTCGGCAAAAAAGCAAACCCAAAAGTAAAAAAAAAAACTTTTTTTTTTTAAAATCTCAAAAATAGGAGTGCGCCTTATACATGGAGATTTATGGTACAGGCTATTTGTGATAATGCCTCATTAGAAAAGGAGTCCATATTATCATAGCTTGTTATAAGGTTTCTTGGGTGTTACAAAGAATCCATTTGGAAACATCATAAAGATTTGTGAGGTATATTGAAACAGTAACTACCTTGGCTACCACACTTCTGGAGGAAGTCAATGAAATACATTGTAGTCATCTCCTCCTCCTCTCTATCGTTTGACCCTTCAATTGAATAGGTGAGATTGAAGAGCTCGAACACCTCGTTAGCATCAACGCCCTTTCGTGAGTTGAACACAGTGTGGATGAAGACTATATAAATGAAAAGCACATAGAAATCATTATATCATTTATGTCCTTAATTACTCACAATAATTGATTTGACTATGTTCTACTACTAATTTCAGTTTTTTGAGATAGATAAAAACATAAAATAACCAATCTGGATATTGTGTCTTTCATACATGATGACAATGTATAATTCATATTCTTTGCACACTTCTAGGTATTTATTTCACTGATAAATTTCATCCCAGTACGAGATACCATAATTAAAAAAATGCACACAGCACCCTGGGCTTATTAGTCTTAGGCAGAAATATTTACAAACTTGATCTGTCTCTTTCATATGCAATCGCCATAAGGAAACCATGGCACAAAACAATGCAGTTTTACATTGCTATACACATGTTTGATAGTTAAAGGTACTATGTCCCATTTGCAGGCCCCCAAAATGAAAAGGTTAAATTCCAACGGCATTTCAAAGATACTGTAGTTGCGTAAGTGGAGGTGGAGGCGTTAACAAGACACATCGTCGCCACAGACCGACACAAAGTGGACCTGTTTGGTTATGGGCGTGAAGTTGTAGGCCAAAGGATTGTTAAAAAAAATCTAAATGCTCAAATGTTACACTTCACACACAATAACTTGATTGAGAAACGGGATGAAGAGATCTTCACTCTGTAGAAATTTACTTATCTTGCCATTGGTTAGGCAAAGACATACAGTTTTACTACCTATTTGGAATATGTAAGTTACCTGGGTGCGCCTCTGCATATGTTTTCATCCCCCAGAACTCCATCCCTTTGATGAGTGCTTCCATCTCACCTTTTTGGTTATTAACCAGGTAGTGAAAGCATATCGCCTTCACGATCTAAAAGCAAGATATAAAAATCTATATGTGATCTTGATCTTCAAAACCCCTGCAAAAAAAATGGATATAAGTAGCACCTTCAAAACCAGGACCAGTACCCCCACGAGGCTTATTTATAACTGGGATCCTGTTTTACATTTCCAAGCCTTATGAGAAGCTATTGTGTTGGCTTGAAAATCATATATTAAAGCAAAATATACAGCGAATAGGCAGTTGAATTTGATCTCTGTTAAAAGCCTTTTATATATTTCAAACATTTTGTTGCCAAAGAAGTCAATCTCAAAGCATTTCTGTCCAAACTATTTAGTAATAGTATATTATTTCACACAGTAACTGATGAAGGCATGCTTTTCATTTTTGTTAGTGGGGAGTTTATCAGTACTGTTAACCTTTACACATTTTACTGGCAGTTAAATTTCTTATATCGAAAGATTGAAATATAAATCCACCCTCTGGGTTTTTGTTCCCCTTCTATTCCCACTTAAAGTAATACCAAGTTCGGGAAATTATGGAAATTGGGTGGATAGTGAATCTTTACCATTTTGATATATTTAGATGCCTCTGTGGATGTATTATAAGCACTGGAAATTTTAGCCCCTAAAACACTTCTACTTTCGAGAAAAATTGATTATAAAAATTTACCGGTGCTTCTGGTAAATTTTGATAAATTTCAAATTCGCGATTACGGCCGTACGATGGTAGCTGCGACCATGAAAATCTCAGAATATGTAGCTGTGATGTGTAATTTCCAAACGGTAATAGCTAATCGGTCAAATTTAGTAAAGAACATTTTTTTATAGCTTAATTAATATCTTGACCTTGAGAGTGAGCTATACAACATAAAGAGTTTATTATTTACAATTTCATACCTTTAGACTCGATTTCAACCGCGACAACAATCACTGAATATTGTAGGATCGCATATGCTTCCAATATATTCATTTGAACCCAATTCATGACCCCATACCAAAACTTTGTATTACCTTTAATATTTCAATATTGTCATTAAGAAGGACAAACAGGCCAATCTCAGTTTGGTGCATTTTAAAATGTATGTATTTTTAAAAATTATTTATATATTAGTTTGGTATTTCGTAACTTACCTAATGTCAATATATGGCTTTAATTAAAGACACAGTAGGAGGCTCTCATGGGGTAAGTAGACACCTTTCAGGTGTTGTCAATCACCATGATCAGCATTCAGTTTCATGACCAACAGGCCTTGTGTAATGCTTGTATTTTCCTTTCATACCCCCCCCCCCTTTGGTAAAGTCATTATGTAATGTTCCCCTCACCCGAAGACTCTATGACAGACTAGGGGAATTTCTTGATAGGACTACAGGTTTGCTGACTTGTACACCCTTTAATGGTATTTCCACCAAGTCTGGTGTCAGCGAATTATGGCCTTCTGCACATGGAAACTGACGACCCTCTCCCTTAAAGGTGATCCGTAAGTGATATTTAGATTTAGAACATACCACAAATGACGTCATTGGTGTGTGTCAGAGACAAAGAATAGTGAAAATTGATCTCTGATTTTGTCTGTAAAGAATTACAAAATCTTGTCAGCTGATTTCAGACGCTCTCTCAGTAAAGAGGTAAGTGAGAAAAAAACTTTTTCCAATACTGTCTTGTAGTATACATGATATGCTACACAGTTAATTGTCGCAGATATGGATATGTTAACAGTCACTATCTGAAAAACAGCTAGATTGTAATCACCTACCTCGTTTCGGTTCTCTAATGTCACCAACCTCCTCCATCCTATTTCCTCCAGGACTTCTCCTTCAGCTAAAATGACACGAAGAGAGCCCTGGTCAGGAGCGGCTCTAATCTGTATTGGCAAAACCGATATCAAACCAAATTAATAACAAGATATTGTGATAGACATGCATTAATGGATGTATTCACAAGCTTTCGGGGGCATATATGAGCCCTGTGACCTTCAACCCCAAAATCTAATCAGTTCATTGGCTCTGCAAGATACAAACATGACCAAAGTTTGGTTGAAATCCATCAATCGGTTCTTGAGATAACATGATCACAAAACATAATGCCTCTGGCAACTTCGTTGTGGAGGGATAACAAGAAAAAAACGCCCTCGGAAGTCTCGCCTGCATTACGCAATTCGATATGATGAAAAATATGAGGTTGGGACATTATTCATAGGCAGGGTAAGGGTGGCCCATTAGCAGCCCCCCCCCCCCCCCAAAAAAAAAAAAAAAAATCTTCTGAAAATAATAAGCATTTTGAAGTGAATATTGGCCAAGAACCATCAGAAGAATTGTTTACTATAATTTATACCAAGATTGATAACTTTCATGGAATATGAACAAATAATAACAATTGATTTATTAATTCTCATATTAAAATGCAAAAACATAATCCAAGTCTACCGACCTAAAATTACCTTTGACCTGCACTTTGTGACCTGGAATTCATATCTTTAAATTTCTGCTTGTACATGAATATATGCAATTATAGCACTTTTTTGATGACATGCTCATACTAATTGTTATGTCACACCTTACATGTATATCCGATTTCAACGAAAATGGTATCAAAATGTGCGTAAGACTTTAGGGAAAAAAGGCATGAAACGACAATTCAAAATTCTGCACGGTTGCGGCGCAATCTCCGAAAATGTCGAGGGGGGGGGCCTGGGCCCCCCCCCCCCCCCCAGTACAGTAAGGGTTCAATTTTGGCCATTACAAGAAGTAGGCTATTGATGTAGACAAATGCTCATGTACCCTTAACAGCTCATTTTATGTATGTAATTACCACAGATGAAAAAAATAAATAGTGTCTGACAGTGAAGTCTATCAAGTAAACGGGTTTCCTTGCATAATTTGAATATTAAGACACTGCTAACGTTTAAACTTCACAGATAGGACATACATGACATATTCATAATGCCTGCAAAGTTCTACAGAATTTGATGTTGGCTGCAAAAGGGACATAGTATCTTAAGTTTTCGATAATGATGCCACAAGATGGATGTCTTTGGGCATGATGGTAACCCTCTTGGCGTGGATGGAAATCTGGAAACGTAGCTCTGTCTTGAAGTCCTGTGCAATCTCACGCACTAGACGCTGGAATGGCAGTTTTCGGATGAGAAGCTCAGTGCTCTTCTGGCAGTCCTAAGGCCTTTTCACACACACCTAAAATTCATAGTATTTAGAGCTGATTAGTTTAAAGCTCTTTAAATAATCAGCTTTAAAGAATTTTACTAGTGTGTGAAAAGGCTGTTAGTCTGTTGCCCTGAAATGACATTTGACCTTGACTTTGTGACCTAAAATTCTACTCACATGATTGGAGAAACTTGATAACTCTTTGGTCTAAGTTTAGTACCTAACCCTAACCCATAAGAAGTTATATTTTCAAATTCATACTAAAATATTCACAAACTTAACCAGAGGATAAGTTTTTGATGTTGCCGCCGCCGTCGCTGTCACTGCCGTCACCAGAAAAGCGGCGCCTATGTCTCGCTCTTTTCTAGGCAGGCGAGAAAAACACTAGAGCTGATAATACTAAATTCTTTTAGAAGAGCAGAAAAAAAACAAAACATATTACCCTCTTCACAAGGTCCCTTGTTGACGCCTCTGGCAGCAGATCTATAGCCAGTTCTGCTGGCTCCCCCAAACACAACACATCAGCGATAATCGGGTTGAGGAAGTCCAACCTGGACCCCCCATGCAAAACTGCTGCCCCCAGCACTTTTCCAACGTTTTGGATAGTGCCGTTGGAAATCCCTGAAGAGTTCTTTGCAGGGACCATCATTCCTGAAAGCAAAGAATACATGAAAAATAACACAATTTCTTTAGAGTAAGTACCAAGTTCAGTGGTTATCAGTCTTTGTTTTAGAAATAATGCAGAAAACAGGACGCAAAAAATCAATGTGAAAGTGTGACGCCTTAGTCCATGTTATTGCAGAGGCATCAATTCCCAAATGTGGCTCTTCCGAAAGGGGTTTTGGCTGGGGCATTAATAAGGTACAAATCCCAAATAACAGCAACATCGTAAAAGGACTTCACACAAATTAGCAACGACGAGCAGAGTGAATAAAAGTTTGTACAATGGTTGCTTATTTGATAAAATGATGGTCATTACAATTTGAAAAGCTGTGATGAGGCCTTACCATGAATAGCATACCTCAATGCATGATGATAATAATATTAAGAATTATATTAATAACAATTATAAATCATTTTCAAGCAACAACAACTTGCTCAGAACAGTCGTTTTGCCTCAATGAATCACAAAGTGCTGTGTAAGCGCAACAGAATGTTAAAAGAACAAGTTCAAATCAGGACAAAAATCACAAAGCTCTTTTAAAGCAAGTTTCTCCATGAATGTAAATTCGTTGCAATTCATTGTAAAAATTGCCACTATGGAAATGCAAATTAATTTCTGCACTGATTTTTCTACAGAGGTTAATGACAAAACGAAAAGAAACTAACAGTGGGCAACATGGAAGAACAACTATTCATTCAGAGTTGTGTTATTGTTCTTCTCCATTTGTAGTTTAACCATGGCTAAATTAAGTCTATACATTCTTTGTACTCGTTAAGGTCATTGCAGTTATCTGTGAAAAAATTTTGATTTGGGACTTGGACTTGATTTAACTTAACTGTTGTATCATTACTATTATTATTTCAAGAAAGAAACTAGATGGAATTTTGACTGCGCGCAGTCAAAAATGATGCCTCCGCCATAGAGCAATTTAAACAAGTTTGGAGTTTAAATCTCCAGTGGTTCTTGAGATATCATGATAACAATCTCAATGTATGGAATTTCATAAGTTGACCTCTGTGACCCTTGACCTTTGACCTACATGCTCCAAAATCTAATCAGATTGTCTTCCTATGGTGATAAACACTATCATTAAGTTTGAAGTTTAAATCTCCAGTGGTTCTTGAGATATTATGATATGGTGATACATACTATCATTAAGTTTGAAGTGAAAATTCTCCAGTGGTTCTTGAGATATCGCGATAACGATCTCAATGTATGGAATTTCATAAGTTGACCTCTGTGACCTTTGACCTTTGACATACGTGCTCCAAAATCTAATCAGATCGTCTTCCTATGGTGATACATACTATCCTTAAGTTTGAAGTTTAAATCTCAAATGGTTCTTGAGATATCGCGCTAACAAACTCAATACAAGGAATTTCATAAGTTGACCTCTGTGACCTGTGACCTTTGACCTACGTACTCCAAAATCTAATCAGATCGTCTTCCTATGGTGATAAATACTATTCCCGAGTCTTAAGTTTAAATCTTAAATGGTTCTTGAGATATTGTGATAACGGTCAAACGGGACGGACGTACGGACGGACAACCCGAAAACATGATGCCTCCGGCACCACCTTCGGTGGCGGAGGCATTGGGTACTAGTTTCAAATGCAAGAGCAAAAGTAAACAAATATCAATTTATTATTCTTACCATGGCACCCTGAAAAGATACCATTCTCCCGGATCATCGGAAGGACAAGGGAAAATAGTTCCCTGGAAAGACCGCCGGTGTCCACACCAGCCTCACCAAGGAAATTAACTGACAGTGCCCGATCCGCCTTTACCCCTTCATCTATTTTGTAAGACAATAAATACATTAGTCTAAAGGGATGAACATAAAATGCAAAGCGAAAGAAATATCAAAAGATGTTGGAAGTAAAATAGGCAATAAATGCTATTATTTATTAATAAATCATGAATTAATAGAAATAGGTCAACGCAGAGCGTAGCATCCCCTCGCAGGGTACAAATGGCCTATAAACGTCAGAACAAGTTACCTCCATTGGACTATACTATTATATTACTAGGCAAGGAAGTTCACCACATTTTCACATTATACAATTACTGGTAGGTGTTTTTGCATATTTAATGAGCTATGACCTTTCACCTTTGACCTATATAATAAATAATATTTAAGATTTACATAGCGCTGGTATACAAGTTCAGTTTCTAAGCGCTTAACAAAACAAGTGAAATGAAAAGTACGGTTAAACTAAATATGTAATAAGGATCAACAAGAAATGTGAAATGAACAATGCGCTTAATTAGGACGAATAACTTAACAATGTATAACAATAACATGATAATGAAAAATGAAAATGTAAATACAATAATTAAGTATCATTAATGAAACTGCAATAATTATGTACATTAGACAATAAATAGATTACAAGAAGATAGGACATGTGGTTCTAAATACGGTATGATGATGGACAATTACTTCGTGTTGAATAGATAGGTCTTAAGTCTACGTTTAAAAGTGTCAAGAGTTGGGGATTCACGGACAGAGACGGGGAGATTATTCCAGAGTTTAGGAGCACATACAGAGAAGGCACGATCTCCATAGCGGGTGTGAGTTTCGAGGACCAGATGATAGTTGAAGATGAACAGATGATGATGAGCGGAGCCTGATGGAGGAGGTTTGCACCTTTGGTGAAATGAGTCCATTGATGTATACTGGAGCAAGTCCATTACGGGCCTTGTAGGTGAGAAGCAGTACCTTGAATTGGATGCGCTGTGGAATGGGGAGCCAGTGAAGGGAACGAAAAAATAGGTGTTATGTGTTCGTACTTCCTTGTGCGTGTGAGGAGACGGGCTGCAGTGTTCTGGATGTGTTGGAGTTTGGTCAGATGTGAGCTGGGTAGATTTATCAACAGGCTATTACAGTAATCAATGTGTGATGTCACAAATGCATTTATTAGGCGCCCAGTAGAACTTTCGTCTAGGTACTTTCGGAGTTTTCCGATCGGGTAAATTCCAAACGAAGCGGCTCTGCATGATTTCTGAACATGTTGCTTCATGGTAAGTTTGTCATCCACTGCGACTCCGAGATTAATAGACGATTTTGATGGATTGATTGTATTGCAGTCGACTTCGAAATCTGGCAGCTCACTGGCTTTTCGAAATGCTTACGTCACATGCATGAGTTCTGTCTTGGCACCATTAAGCATGAGGTTGTTATCACGAGCCCAGACTTTCACATCTGTGATGCACTGCTCCAGTCTCACCACCCCACTGGCGATTTCACTTTGCTTCATATCAGATACATTTGTGTGTCGTCAGCATACATCATGTGTTCAACACCCTGATGGGACCTTATGACGTCACTGAGGGGACCAGAGTAGAGTATAAAGTCCAACGGTTCCACAACGGATCCATGTGGTACTCCCCAAGTTAGTGGAAATGCTTCGGACTGGACACAATTGAGAACGATGACCTGAGATCGATTTTCCAAGTAGGAGGCAAGCCACTGCAGGACGACTCCCTCAAATCCATATTTATTACAGAAACGTTGTATCATCATGCTATGATCGATCGTGTCGAACGCAGACGAGAAGTCCAGCAGAATAAGAATAGCTTCAAGTCCTTTGTCAAGGGCTAACAAGAGATCGTTGGCAACTTTCAAGAGGGCTGTTTCTGTCGAATGGAACTGACGGTATGCGGATTGCATGACAGGATATAAACCATTGTCTTCTAAGTGTGTCCTGAGCTGAGCAGCTACAATCCTCTCTAGCGTCTTGGCGATGAAAGGAAGATTCGCGATCGGTCTGTAGTTTTTAAACTCATTTCGATCCAAAGATGTTTTTTTCAAGAGAGGAGTGACGTGTGATGTCTTGTACGCTGCAGGTACCTCTCCAGAAGACAGGGACAGATTAACAAGTTCAGTTACAAATGGTACAAGCTCATTAATACAATCTTTCATGAGCCAAGTCGGTATTGGGTCAAGTCGGCACGATTTTGAAGAACTTTCACGGATCACCTTTTGCACCTCTAATTCTGATACAGGTTCAAAAGAAGAGAGTTTGTGCGTCGTCACTCCATCCTCACAATCTGATGAGCGGCTAGTAATCCCCTGAAGATTGGTGACGATGTCCTGAATCTTGTTGTAGAAAAATTGTCCAAAATCATTAGCCAGATTTATGTCTGACTCATGGTCCGGTAGAAGATGCTGTGACTTTGAGCGGGAAAGCGTCTAAACAAGCTGGAAAAGATGCTTGGTGTCACACTGCACAATCTCGTCGGTCAAGTAACGAGATTTTGATTGAGATAAGACTGCATTGTAGGATTTACACTCCTCTTTGAACAGTTGACGATCAACTTCCAGACCAGAACTTTTCAATTTACGTTCAGCACGCCGTTTAGATCGTTTTGCCTCACGAACTTCATTGGTGTACCAGGGAGCTTTTGGTCTGATTGTGACAAGTATTGATCGCTCAGGCGCATGCTTGTCAAGTAGCTCCTTTAGTACGATGTTGTATTGTTCTGCCATGTCAGATGCATCTTTGGCTGTAGGAAGTGTAAGCAATGAGGTTTGTATGTCATTCCTAAGCTGAACCACATCAAAGTCCCGAAGTTTCCGACAAGTTATCCGCTTCTTGGAAGTTGCTGAACTTACAAAACTGAGCGTAGTCAGGACTGCCGAGTGATCGGAAGGAAGTCCTGGTACGACGTCCATGGCCACAATAGGATGATCAACCTTTCTGGAAATCAAGAGATCTAAGGTATGACCAGCTCGATGAGTTGCACCTTTTACATGCTGCTGAAGATCAAAAGTGTCCAAGATATCGAGGAATTTCCTAGCATCTCTGTCAGTTTCGTCGTCAACATGGATGTTGAAATCTCCCATGAGCACAAGCTGATGCTGATCGATTGTTACAGATTCTAACAGTGTCGGAAAATCTGCCACAAAATTGTCATACAACAGTTTGTTTGTAGACGATGGGGGAGGCCTATAAATGGCAAATGTCCTAAACACCACAGAAGGAGAGACGTGGACCAGAATATCCATGTGCTCAAAAGATGAGAATTTTGTATCTAGTGATTTTCAAAGAAGAGCGATATATGATGCATATACCACCACCCCGACTCTGGCGAACTTAGGCTTAGTGTAACTGGCAATACACAGTAAATCTGTAACAATAAGCTAATACAAATTCGCTGAACGATCATGCAGCCATTCAACGCACACAATACGTGAACCCTAAAATTTCGGCACATGATAAAAATGTAGGGGGGGGGGGGAGGTGTTCTTGAGAAGGGTTTAGTAGGGTTAAGGCATAATTCACCTCGAAACCCATTAAGGGTGTCCACCAGCAGGTGCTTTCTCCTCACGTAGAGATGATTTGGGGCCTCATCTCCAGTAACCTGCTTCTCCTTCCATCCATCCAAATCCAGTTGCAGAAGGTTTTCATCACTGGGTAAAAATAAAAGAGAATTCACCTATCTAAATTAAAAATCTGCCATTATCAATGTTAGATATCAACTGGTTCTATGCAAAGAGAGTCCTAGACTGAGGCAGAAGAAAGACATGGTAATGAAGAACATGAATTCAAGAAATCTATCAAAATATGACCTTTGACTAAGGCTGTGCACAACAGTGTAATGAGGTACCCGAGTACACTCCCAGGCTCACAAGCGAATACCCAAATATTCAAACGCCATGTCTTTTTTTGATTTTTTTTTTGATTTTTTGATTTTTAAAAAAAAAAATTAAATTTTTTGATTTTTTTTTCCCTTTATTTATTTATTTATTTTTTGCCACCACCATACCACTCGGCAGTTTCCCAGGTCCCTCGCCGAAACGCATGCAATTTTACTTTGAGTTGCAGTTGAAGGCACCAATTTAATAATAATAATAACAGTAAACAATGCTGTTTTAAAAACCAAAGATGGCAGAATAATCCATTGTTCTCCGAGTCCAAACAGATATCTGGACATTTGGTCCCAGTTTCTGAGTGGTGAGTTTGACAGTGCTCGAGTTGGGAAACATTTTTACAGATGGTACCATGCCAGCGGCTGCCACTCTCCCTGGCACGGGTAAGCGTTGGTCTGGACATTTTTTTTTTTTTTTTTGCGGCCGAATATTTGGGTACTCTTTGAAGGAGTCGATGTATGACACCCTTTACAGCGAGGCGTCAAAAATATCGATACCAGTAGGCTGCCGCCTCAAGTATTGGCGCATCGAGGCTGCAATTACGGCCGAAGCCTGGCTGGGGCAATTATTTTTCACTTATTAACCCAGCCGGCTTGCGCCAGGCTGGGATCTGAGGCTCGGTTTCCATTCGAAAGGCGGCAGCCGGCGCATGCTTTTGAATGCCATTTCCTACCGCCAGCTGAGCTAATTTAAAAAATGCAGCCAGGAGGCACAAGTGCAGTTAGCTGCCGCTGGCTGGTATATTTATTTTTGACGCCTCGCCTAATAGTGATTAACAGTAAATTCTCCCAACCATTTTTGAATTTTCCCAACCGTTTTTCCATGAAAAAGAGACATAAAACAGGCTATAAAAAAATCTGTACACACTTAAATGTCTGGAATGGAATGTAGAGCGATTTTATTGCTTTGTGATCATTTCCATTCACCTAAAATGTAATTAAATTAACCTTCAACAATGTTACCAAGTCACTTTAAGGAATCGATCAGATCAGCTTTTCTCAATTTGTACCAGGAATACTGGTCCGTTTTCACTCAAATTTTCAGATAATCTTTAATTGTACACCTAGCATTGAAGTCACTACCTTAGCACATGCACTATCTCTCATCTGAACAATGTTACAAAGTCCCTTTAAGATAACATTTATGTAATGTATGTAATGAGTCGCGTGACCTTTGACCTGATGATCTCAAAAGCATTGGCTCACCAAGATACCTACACAGAGCTGGCAACATCCAGAACAGAATATCAGTAATCACAAGGCCAAAATCAATATACAAAAAAGAATATTAACATTTTGTTGTTGTTGTAATCTCTAATTTTAGACATTCCGTACTGCCATACTTATCAGTAATTTCTGTACCAATTACAAAAAATCTGTACTAGTTGACAGCTTTGCCTACAGCCAGGTATCAAGTTTGGTAGTATTTAAATCATGAGCTCTTAGAGCCCTGAGAAACATGGCCATTTGCAGAGCTGCCAACCTTGTGTGACCAACAAAAAAAAGGAATTCATAAAAACGAAACTTACAACCACGCGTGACACACTTCCAATGCAGAAATGTTCATTCATCATGCTGTTTTTGGGGTGGTTATTTTGGTATTATTGGCATTTCATTCTTTTTGAGAATATTTTTCTTTTCAAGTATGTTTTAAATTTAGTTTTGTATTGAATTTGTGATCAAATCACCATTTTAGGGCGGTTGTTTGAAGTGCAGTATGGTAAAAAAAAAAAAAAAAAAAAAAAAAAAAAGTATTTTATGAAGAAAAAACGTAATACCGTAATTTGGAGGAAAAACAAAGTAATTCCGGCAAAAAAGGAATGGTTGGTAGCTCTGCATTTTACATAAAAAAATTACATAAATGAACCAGGTTTTGTGTGAATTTACACCAAATTGTTCTTGAGATCATAAGCAATCATGAGCTATTTTCACATTGATAATCATCAATGTGACACTCACCTCGTGACCTAACATTCTATCATTTCATTGGCTCTGCACATACATACGTACCAGGTTTGACTCTTCAGATAGTAATGAGCCATGTGACCTTTGACCGCAATCAATCCTTTTTTTTATAGTTATGTTGCATACACAATGAGCCCTGTGACCACTGACTCATCATGTACAAAGCTTGGCTGGAATTTGTCAATCAATTATTGAGATGAAGCAATCATGATAACAGAATGAATGTATGATCAGAAAGACGGTTTGGACATACACATGTACACAACCTGAAAAAATAATGGCTCCTTCCACTTCGTTTTGGCAACAACAAACAATTTTCACGAGACTGGATTTAACAAATAATGTAACTTAATTTAGAATGATCGTCACCTCCCTACATTTAAGATGGATACCATTGCCAATACTTACGCATGCATTACCGCTGGAACATATTCCTCTGATACTGCATCTTGCACATGTCCATTAGAAATATTGGCCGCATCTGGGGTTTCAAACTCCACCAATCCCACATAAGTACTACAAAATGGAGAAGAAAAAAAACAATAATGCAAATTTAATTAAGGCCCATATCACATCAACCAATTTATCACTGGACCTCTTTTAACAAACAAGTGCCCTGAGAAAGCTGGACTAAAGTGCCCAACTGCCTAACACCATATTCGTGCATTACTAATCTTTAACCCTATTTTAACTGGGCTATTTCAGACCGGGTTTTTACTTTGGGGGGGGGGGGGGTCAATTTGACCCCCCCCCCCAAAGTAAAAACCCTAATATGTCGGCCGTTTCACTGCCGATCGCCGCGAAAAATTGCATTCATTTCAAGTGAAGTGTATAGAATACTATGCTAATTTAAATTTTTTGAAAATGCACTCATTTGCATATTTATGGTAATTTATGCAAATAAGGTCATGAAATTCACATTTTTGCCCCTAAATCAGACATTATTCATATTTGAGCATTCTTTTTCACTACATATATTTGTTAGACCATTCGGAATAATATTACAACACAAAAAATTGGAAGAGCCAGGTTATCCCTTATGTTATCTATTGTTTTGATAATTTCTTATGTATTGAAAGGTGAAATTCAAAGAAAATCACAAATATGTCAACTAATGTATCATTAGAAATTGGTAAGCTAACAGATGGCCATCGTACAAGTTTAAGGTCAACTACACATCGGGTGATTAATAAAACTACAAATACAACCACCTCCACAGCAGTTGGGATATACGAGAGATAAGCAGCAGCAGACATGGAAAACCCAAGATCTAATTAAAAATGTGTGGTCACAACATTTCAAATGTTTTTATATTACTCACTCATAAGAGGTAGATGGCATGGAGACAGGTCTTGTATGTAGTGCTGATCCACTACTTGATGAAGTCTGGGGATTGGTGCCAAGGTGGAGATACTGCGGGAACTCTTCATCACTTGAACTCTAAATTTGGAGGGATAAATGAAACGATCTTGATTTAAAGATAAACTCAAGAACTGGTAAAAAAAAAAAAAAATTCTCACAGAATCAAACGAAACTTACACTGAATGTTCAAGATTACAAATAAATGACATGTGCCAAACAATTTTGGAAGAAAATGTATACTGGCTGAGTAATGAGCATAGAAAGACAAGGAAATCAAGGTATTACTAGCCCCGACACCATGTGTGTTGTCCCATATATAGCTTTCTATTCGGTCAAATTTATTATGATTTTGATGACTCCAGAACTTTGCAGTGCACACCAATACTTACATGCTACATGATCAACTGTTTCTGATCCTTTCCACACCTTTTCTTTCACAATGCAATCACATTACAAGTACTAAAGTGTATCTTTAAATACAGTAATAATATTACCGGCACCTCCAATTACAGAAGAACAACATTCTTAATTACTAGTAATTTAGTATAAATATTGATACTAATTTCAACTAGAAATTCGAGCAAAATTTGAAGTTACTCAAACAACTCCTAATCGAAGAAACAAAAGATGGAGAAAAATGTGGGTGGTGGTAACATTTCATTCTGCCATAAACCTAACAAAACCAAAAAGTTGATATTTTATTTTAATTTTCTCAATCCTGCACATGAACAAGATATGATGAAATTCAAACACGCTAATTTGGGTTCACGGGATTCTCCAGTAAATATAGGGAGACTTGATATCCCAGAGTTTACATAAAACAAGAAAAAGCCAAAGCTGTTTCCATCATGGGATCACATTTGAGAATTATGTTTTACCTCGTCAGATCCACACCTTCTGCGTTTTCTTGCTGGGTCGTCATCCTTGATTAATGTAAAATAATTAAAAATAAAATAGATTTAAAAAACCAACATATAATGAAAGGTTACATTTTCAGTAGTTCATTCTAAAAACAAGTTCATAAAAATAGGTTAACAGACAAATTATCAATTAAAAACCCATCTGTAACCCAAGTTATGCTAATTTGTATTTTGTTTGTGTAATGTGTGATTTCGTACCATGAGGCCATGGCCATGTTGGTACTGTAAGTGCATGGTTGTAATTAATTGTATTAATTGTTTATGAATTCCACCACCCTTTGCAAAGTGTTGGGCATCTATTTAATGTCACACAACGGTACTGAAAGATATAAATTATGAGCTGTTCTTTGCAAAGAGCAAAATAAAAGCTATTTTTTCATATGAACCATGTGACCTTTGACCACATGACCCCATAATATATTCAGTCCAATTGGTTCCCCAAGATACATACACATATTAATTATGTTGATTCCATCAACCAATTCTAGAGAAATTGTGATACAAGTACAAGACGTTGGGATGGTAAAGTTAACCCCAAAACATAATACCTTCATTGCAGAGGCATAACAATAAATGAAATCGGGGGTTGCCTGTACAAACTATATCGAGAAAAATATCATAAACTGACAAATTATTTAAAAAGTTTGGAAGTTATCTTCAAAGTGACATGGTGTGAGACTACACTTTACAAATCTAACTTTAATATTATTCTAAAATCGTTCAGACTTGAATTTGTATTCATATTCTTTACTGACGCTATAGTTTCACATAGATATTTCATATAATTTGGATGAAAATGTATCTGACAAAATTTAATGAGCAACCTATGCATAAAACAATGAACAGCAGTGAGTGCATTAGTAAGAACTACCCACACAAGGTATCTTTAAAACAGTCTAACATAATTTTACAAATGCCCTGTCATTACCATTGGATAATGACCGGTCATTCAATTAGGATCCGCGTCATCTTATAAACTAGTATACTTGATTATCAGAAGAAAAGTTATGGAAATATTAACCTACATGTATGTCACCTATACAAATTTCACATTTAGGTCAATTCCTTATAATATTCATTGCTGAAACTGTATACTTTTGACAGCATAGTGAGAGTTCCTTGAAAAATATTTGTTCTAAAATGTATTATTATCTGATAAAGGCACTGATAGATGTTTTAAACTACAATCTACAATCAACCTCACAAAGGTAAGGACCAGTTTTGGAAACGCCCCCCTCTCAAAAAATGAAGAGGAAGTTTTTATTACCAATCATGTGAAAGAATATGTTTTTACTAATACGTGATCATACAAGTATTGCTGAGAAACCGCCTACTAATTGATATATTTGGTAAATTTTTATAAGATTCTATTTGGACCCGATAGATATAACGCACATGTGCGCACGTGTGGGGGACTGGGGGGGAGTCCCATATACATCTTTCTGTTTACAGTGCTTGTAACTTTATAAAGACTGGGCCAAATTTCTTATCATTTTGATGATTCCAGAACCTTACAGTACACATCAATACTTATATGCTAGATGATCAACCTTTTCTGATCGATTCCACAACGTTTCTTTCACAATGCAATCGCATGTCCATAACTGGTCTTTATCTTTAAGAGGATTTATCATACTTACATGTACTTCACTGAAGAAATCTTCATACGTAATATCATATCGGGGAGACATCATGACATACATACTCCCTTGTCCTAGGCCAGCCAGCACTTCCTGTCCACCCCATGTGTAGTTGCTAGACACCTTTGGCCGCTGCAGTTTTTTACCCGTCCCTGGCAAAACGCTTTGAACAGAAGTGTAAGAATTATTTTGATTAACAAATAGAAACGATTCAAGAGCAAGTAATATCAGAGTTGTTTCTACTGGCATTAATAAATAGAATATATACATGTATGTTTATAAAGGTCATGTACCGCCACGTTATCAATTTCTACCTCCACCTTGGTTGAAGGAAACATAAAAGAGGTTGACAACTTGACAGTTATAGATTCATACTTATTTATCACTTGTTGTAACACTGAAAAGGTAAAAATAAAAATTTTCCAGTGGAAACCTTTTCCACCGCTAATCAACCAAAATCGACATACATTTGGCTGTAATATATACCTTAGATAATGAAATTTAGTTTTGAAATTGTTACCTAATTAATTTTTTTTTTTTAATGTATCAGTCTAGAGGCATGCTCTGTTCCATGCTCACTTTAGTATAGAGAAAGACAAGACAGTACGCATTACACGGTTTGTGCTAATACTGCACCAGTTTTAAAGGCAGGCTTTACTACTTCAGCCGAAGGGATTAGACAACCAAGCGAGCCACTGAGGTCACTGTGACAGTTGGCTATCTCATTAACTCAGCTCTCATTTAACATAAGAAAAAAGAGGATCATGGGGGACCAACAGGCACCGATTGGGGAAGTTTTCTATACAGAGGGAGCAATAGCTACAAGTAGGACAGTGTGCCTTTAAAGGAAAGTTGCGTTTTTACCACATTCAGACATTACAGTACTGTACTATGCCCTCTGTATTGCATCGAATGTAAACGCCAAAATCTGATACACCAAAATCTTTGCAGACATGCCCGTGACTTGGCATGCACGACTAAAAGACGTATGCTTCTATGCGATTTGTATAGAACATCATTTTTTTAGTAATGCATACAAAGTCATGGGCACGTCTTTGAAAAGAATGCCTTAAGTTGCATGTCAGGCATGTAAATATGATTTATAAGCAGATTTCCCCCCCCCCCCCCAAAAAAAAATGTATGGAAACTACTGACACAACTATAAATCCTCTATGGGGTTTTATTCAATAGTAAATGCTTTTTACATCAACAGACCTGCCCTCATTTTGTCACGTGTGACACAATTAAGGGGTTACACTTACAAATACATTCAAAACTAACCTAAGAAAATCGAAATCAAGGATCCCTCCCTCTCCAAGTCCGGTAAAGACGGAAGACACCTCTTCCTTCACCTCTTCGGCAGTCTGGCCCCGCCACAAGCTAATTTTGCCGGCATATCCAGCCTCAGCAAGCTGCTGTCTCGCCTTTCCGCGAGGGATGGGCAATATAAGGGCTGGCGAGTAGGGCAGGAGGATTATGTCTTTTGAGACAGGTCGCTTGACAGGCGCTCTAGGGGTCGATGTCCTTCCCCTTCCCCTTCCCCTTCTTATTGACGGTGTCGGCCACTGGGTTACCTGTTGAACAAGAAAACAATCTACCATGAAAATCATACATTTAACTTTCATGCCAACAGGGGTGATAGTGAGCACTAAAAACTAAACAAAATAAAATAAAATCCCCCTCCCCCCCCCCCCCCCCTCTTGGCAAAAAGAAATTTAGAAAGGTGGACTTGGGGGGGGGGAATTGGCATCTACACTGTAACAACATTCCCTCCTTTTGAGTAAGAAACTTGGGAAAAAATAGGGGGAAATAAAGATAAGCAGAAAACGGTTTAAAATGGTGTTATTATAAGGCCTGTGTCAATAAAAATATTGAAATAGGCATCACATTCCCTGTCACTGACATGCTAGGAGCTCCAAATCAGAACTATGAGGCTAGAGGTGAAAATTTCAAATTAATGTTGTATATCTCCCTAACAGACCCTAAGGCGTAATTATACTTAAGTGATGAACTACATTGGTCAATCATGGAAATTCTGCCCTTCGTTTATTTCACCTCTGAGGCAAAGCCTTGCAGGAGTGAGGCCGTATCTTAGGAACCATTTGACTGGAGTTAGTACTAACCAACAATTTATTTATTCATTTACAAGGGCTCTTTTCAGATTTTCCCTTCAAATAATAGCACCCCCCCCCCCCCAAAAAAAAAAAAATACGAGGTTATTTTGGCGCTCAGGGCACGGCTTTGTTTTAAGGTTGTCATTTTTTTAAAAACATGATTTTACCTACTTAAATTCAAAGCAAAGGCAAACATCCATACACATTCAGATACCCATGATTAATTAACTTTGTGTTAAAGGTAAAGACCAGTATTGGCAACGCCCCAAATTCAAAAAATGAAATGGAAGCTCTCATTACCAATCATGTGAAAGAATATGTTTTGACTAATACATGATGATAAAAAATTTGCCGGGAAACCGCCTACTAATTCATATATTTGGTAAACTTATTTCTGTCATGGTCTGGTGAGAGAGATAGGTACGTAGTCCCATATACATCTTTCTGTGTATAGTGCTTGTAACTTTACAAAGAATGGGCCAAATTTCTTATCATTTTGTTGATTCCAGAACCTTGCAGATGCTAGATGCTAGATGATCAACCTTTTCTGATCGATTCCACAACGTTTCTTTCACAATGCAATCGCATGACCATTACTGGTCTTTACCTTTAAACACATGGTTTTGTGTAAGATTTACATACTAGTAGAACCCGTTGAAATCCACAAGCACTGAAAGTGTATTGTGATCATCATTAGGATGAGTTTGACTGCCAGTGGCGGATACAGGGTGGAGACATGGGGGCCATGATGAGGGGCCAGGCCCCACCTCTGGCAAAAACCAAAAAAGATCAAAAAAAGATGGTAAACACATTTTTACCTTTTTTGTTTAGCTTATGGGGTTGGGGGGGGGGGGGGGGGGTTGATGATTTTAAAAAAATAGTGCTAACTACCCCCCCCCCCTCCCATTGTTGAGCATGAAAGACAATGACGTCAACCATTGACAATAGGGCCTTTTCGTTTGTCACGTCCACTTAGTCGATGTCAAAGATAGAAAAGGACAAACAAGAAAACAATCCACTCCACCCACTCTTCGAACAACAGCCAGTGGGCAAGCGGCTCAAATCCAGACACAGCTTTCTGCACTCTGTAGAGCCCCATAATACCAGCTCTCACAACCAAAGGATGACTTTGTGGTCCAGAATAGAAGGAAGAAACAAAGAAGAACATAAGGAAAGACAGAAAGAGAAAATGATAAAGAATAGTTAATGGAAAGATAGAAGAGAAGATTAAAGACGGAAAAACAAAGAAACATAAGGAATGGTAGAAAAAATGATATAACGATAAAAAAAAAATAATTACAGGAGAAGATGAGAAGAGGGGATAGAGGGAAGAAACAAAGAACAATATAAGGAAAGACAGAAAGAATAGATAATGGAAAAGTAGAAGAGAAGATGAAAGATGAAAAAACAAAGAAACTTGAGGAATGGTAGGGGAAAAAATGATAGAACTATAAAAACAAAGAATTACATAAGAAAGATCAAAACAAATAATTACATGAGAAAAGGGGATAGAAGGAAGGACCAATATAAGGAAACACAGAAAGAATAGATGATAAAGAATAGATAAAGGAAAGATAGAAGAGAAGATGAAAGATGGAAAAACAAAGAAACTTGAGGAATGGTAGAAAGAAAAAAATGATAAAACGATAAAAACAAAGAATTACATAAGAAAAGGTGATAGAAGGAAAAAGCAAAGAATAAGATCAGAATAGAAGGAATAAACAAAGAAGAACATAAGAAAGACAGAAAGAGAAAACAATAAAGAATAGATAATGGAAAGATACAAGAAAAGATGAAAGATGGAAAATAACATGACAAAAGATTTTAAAAATGATAGAATAATACCGGTAAGAAGTAAAAGAAGGACAAATTGAATAAATCTGCGCGAGGCATTCTGTCATCATGTAGAGAACGGGCGTCAACAAAAAACAAGAAGGGTTATAAACTAGTGAACAGGATGGGTTGACTGCAGCCAATTCGCATCGTGATGGGAATGGCGTCCTCGTCCACACAAACGAAAAGCACTTGGTAACAGTTTGAAGGGCAAGTCCACTCCAAAAAATAACTTTTCCTTTACCGTAAATAAATACTTACAATAGAAACAGAAAAATCAGACAAACCAATCTGTTTCTGTTTTCGGTTGCGTCGGTAGGCCTATAGACTACTGGGTCTAGATCTAATCAGGGTTAGGTCCAGTAACTCCAGAGTCCAGGAAGCTCCGGCGCCATAGGCGTCGCCGCGTCGGAGCTTCCTGGAGTTATGTGGTAACTGTAGTCTGTAGGTCTAGGTCTAGAGTCTATATACGTTCTTCATAATCAAAAAACATATAGATTCTAGGGAAAAAATATGCGGGGGCTCGCAACAAATAAGGGCGCTAATTCAGCAAGGTATCAAAAATATAGCCTACTAAAACAGACCCCAAATTTCGGTAAATAAATAATCAAATGTTCCAATGAAGATAATGATTAAAGAGGCGTTATGTTTCTTACCTGTTTCGTGTAAATTTTGTTGTATTTGGGAGTGTATTTTTCTGAAAAACATTGATTTTAGCATGCACCTTTTCACCGGTTTCACGCCAAACCGCAGCACAATACAAATGCATAGACCTACTGCACTGATGGTGGATTGTGTGCGCAGTCGCGCGCTCCTGTGTGAAGTTATCTACCTTATGTAATGAGAATATGGGACAGAAGATAATAGTTGCCAATTTGAGTATATCTAAAAATGTATTAAATAAAATGGAATAGTTTTGTTTACAGAGTGGTCTTAATCATTATTACTATGTTGATGGGAGAGACAGAGAGAAGGTAAAAAGTAAAAGGGGGAAGAGAATATAAAAGGAAAGAAAGAAGAGGAAGAATAGGAAAAGAGGGAAACAGGGGGGGAGGGGGCCGAAGGGCTCTTGCCTCCTCCCCCCCCCCCCCCCCCCCGCCTAAAAATAAATAAGAGAGAGAGAGAGAGAAGGGAAAGAGAAGATAAGGAAAGAAAGAAGAGGAAGAAGAATAAGAATAAAAGAGGCAAAGGGGGGCAAAGGGCTCTTGCCTCCCCCCTTCGCCAAAAAGTAAATCAGAGAGAGAGAGAAGGGAAACAGAATATAAAAGGAAAGAAAGAAGTGGAATAAGAATAAAAGAGGGAAACGGGGGCAAAGGGCTCTTGCCTCCCCCCCCCCCCAAAAAAAAATAAATAAATAAGAGAGAGAGAGGGAAGGGAAAGAGAAGATAAAGGAAAGAAAGAAGAGGAATAAGAGCCCTACGCCCCCGTTTCCCTTTTTTCCTTTTTTTCTTCTCTTCTTTCTTTTCTTTTATATTCTCTTTCCCTTTCCCTTCTCTCACTTTCTTATTTATTTTTTTGGCGGGGGGGGGGGGGGGGGAGGCAAGAGCCCTTTGCCCCCGTTTCCCTATTTTATTCTTATTCTTCTTCCTCTTCTTTCTTTCCTTTATCTTGTCTTTCCGTTCTCTCTCTCTTTTATTTATTTTTTGGCGGGGGGAGGAAAGAGCCCTTTGCCCCTGTTTCCCTCCTTTATTCTTATTCCTCTTCTTTCTTTCCTTTATCTTCTCTTTCCCTTCTCTCTCTCTCTTATTTATTTTTTGGCGGGGGGTGGGAGGCAAGAGCCCTTTGCCCCCCTTTCCCTTTTTTATTCTGATTCTTCTTCTTTCTTTCCTTTTATATTCTCTTTCCCTTCTCTCTCTCTGATTTACTTTTTGGCGAGGGGGGAGGCAAGAGCCCTTTGCCCCTGTTTCCCTCTTTTATTCTTATTCCTCTTCTTTTTTTCCTTCTCTCTCTCTCTTATTTCTTTTTGGCGGGGGGGGGGGGGAGGCAAGAGCCCTTTGCCCCCGTTTCCCTCTTTTATTCTTATTCCACTTCTTTCTTTCCTTTTATATTCTGTTTCCCTTCTCTCTCTCTCTGATTTACTTTTTGGCGAGGGGGGGGGAGGGGGAGGCAAGAGCCCTTCAAGCCCTCCTGTTTCACTCTTTTCTTCTTCTTCCTCTTCTTTCTTTCTTTTTATATTCTCTTTCCCTTCTCTCTCTCTCTTATTTATTTTTTGGCGGGGGGGGGGGGAGGCAAGAGCCCTTTTCCCCGTTTCCCTCTTTTATTCTTATTCCTCTTCTTTCTTTCCTTTATCTTCTCTTTCCCTTCTCTCTCTCTCTTATTTATTTTTTGGCGGGGGGGGGGGGGGGGGGAGGGGGAGGCAAGAGCCCTTCAAGCCCTCCTGTTTCACTCTTTTCTTCTTCTTCCTCTTCTTTCTTTCTTTTTATATTCTCTTTCCCTTCTCTCTCTCTCTTATTTATTTTTTGGCGGGGGGGGGGGGGGAAGGCAAGAGCCCTTTGCCCCCGTTTCCCTCTTTTATTCTTATCCCTCTTCTTTCTTTCCTTTATCTTCTCTTTCCCTTCTCTCTCTCTCTTATTTATTTTTTGGCGGGGGGGGGGGGGAGGGGGAGGCAAGAGCCCTTCAAGCCCTCCTGTTTCACTCTTTTCTTCTTCTTCTCT